AAAACCACATTCACTATACACAAATCAAAATCGTCACATAAGGTCCTCCCTTAATCCCCTGGATGCCAGTCTGTATCTCTCAAATCATTCCCCTCACCACTACTAGTAGTAGTGCTTTATGGGTCTTCTTCGGAGTCTCCTGTCTCTTCTAGCCCACGAATTTCCTGTTCTTTTGCCACTAAACGCTCCCTTCTACTCGGTTTCAACTTCCGAGGGAAGTCTTTCTCGAACTTTTTAATACTCCCGGAAGCCTTTATTATGTTAACTAGTGGTTCCCACGTCTCTTCGTCGTAACCCCTCCAACGGATCAGGTATTCAAAGCCGCGGGTCTTTGTGCGACGGCTGTCACAGATCTTGTCGATCAGATATTCTGGTTGGCCAGAAGCATCCACTGAAATAGGTGGTAGCGGGGGGTTCTTTTGTCCTGGTAAAGGCTTGCCAGGTGCTGGTTTCAGGCGATTGGTGTGGAATACTGGGTGGATACCGCTAAGCTCGTACGGGAGCTGTAACTCGTAGGCGTGGGAGTTGACGATTCTAGTAACTCGATAAGGTCCGATATACTTCTGATCAAACTTTGGGATAGGTTTTGCTGAGGTGATATTCTTTGTTCTTAGTAAAACCATGTCCCCAACTCTATAGGCCGGAGCAGGGCGTCGGTTAGCGTTTGCAAACTCTTCCATCTTATCTTGGGCAACACTGAGATTAGCTCGCAACATGGACAGGATATCGTCCATCTTTTGAGTAAACTCCAGTGCTTCGTTGTACCGCAATCGTAGGTGCTGAGGAGAATCCCTAGGGATAGAACGTGGTGAGCCGAAAGACATTCGAGGGTGATAACCGTGGTTTGCAAAGAAGGGTGACATGCCTGTAGAAGAGCTAGCTGCGTTACGCATTGCAAACTCTGCCATTGGCAGGAGCTTCTTCCAGTTGGTTTGGGCGTAATCGACGTATTGGCGGAGGAATTGGTTAAGCCACTTATTCGCAATCTCCGTCTGGCCGTCTGTCTCAGGTTGGAAGGCTGTAGAGAGGCTGAGTGATATCTGAAGGATAGAGCAGACGCTTTTCCAAAAGTGTGAAACAAAGAGAGCACCTCGATCGGAGACAATAGTGTATGGGAAGCCGTGGAGCTTCCAGACTTCGGCAACGAATAGCCAAGCCAGATCTTGAGCTTTCATAGTAGTATGGCAAGGGATAAAGTGGCGGTCCTTAGTTAGACGGTCTACCACTACCATGATCGAGTTGGAGCCATCAACGGTCATGATTGGCCCAATAAAGTCGACAGAGATGTCCTTCCAGCGCTGAGCTGGGATGGGTAAAGGTTTGAGAGTGCCAGAGTACTTTTGCTGAGAGTGCTTGTTCAACGCACAGTTCTCGCATGCCTTAACAAATTGGTTGATATCCTGGTGCATCTTTGGCCACCAGTAGGCTCGTGACAGAAGCTCGTAGAGCTTGTTTGTGCCTGGGTGTCCGCTATCCATAGCGTCATGGCTTTTCTGGATTACCCAAACCCGTACCTCTGTGTCTGGAAGGTAGAGTCGATCACGGAAGAAGAGACGGTTATCGCGTAAATCACATTCCGACAGCGCTACCTCGCGAGAGTGAGGTATACCCTCCTCTTTATTCATTTCCTTGCTGATTCGTAGCCAAAACGGGTCTTTTTCGTAGCCTTGTTCTATTAGACGTTGGAGTGTTATATCGTCAGACTCCTCGCGAGCTTCCTCCCGAGCTTCCTCGATGTCTGCTGGGGAGAGCGAGAAATGGGGTCTTAATGAGGGGTCGAGATTATGGTCCTTAAGAAGTTGCTGGTCCTGAAACTTAATACGTTCGTCTTGGGCGTTCTGAGGTAGGTCTTGGGAGCGGCGGGTGAGAGCGTCAGCCTTGGTATTCTGTTTAGCAGAGATAGGCTTAATGACGAAATCAAAGTTCTGGAGGTTCTCGCTCCACCGTACCTGCCTGCGGGAGAGGTGTTTCGTGGTCATGAAATACTTAAGGTTGGAGTGGTCGGTGAACACTGATATAGGGAACGCGGAGCCCTGGAGTTCCGATCTCCAGGTCTCGAAGGCTCGGACGATGGCTAGAAGTTCCTTATCATAGATCTCGTAATTACATTCAGCAGGTTCAAAGGCCTTGGACATAAACGCAACAGGGTGCAAGTGGCCGTCGTTACCGTACTGAGATAGGATAGCTGCGGAGACGTAGTCGGAAGAGTCACACTCTAAAACAGCCTCTTTCTCTGGGTCGTAATGTAAGAGCACGGGTGCTGACTTGAAAGCGTCCTTAAGTGTCTCAAACGCTAGTTTACAAGCGTCAGACCAGAAGAATTTAACTCCTTTACGAGCGAGGGCGTTAAGTGGTTTGACGATATGCCCGAAACCGTGTATAAAACGCCGGTAAAAGTTTGCAAAACCTAAGAAAGCCTGGACATCCTTAAGACACGTGGGGTTCTGCCAGTTATCGATAGCGGTTACCTTCTCAGGGTCCATCTTCACTCCCTCGGTAGAGATAATCATACCGAGAAACTTAACCTCCTGAACCTCAAACTCACACTTATCAATATCCAGCTGGAGGCCTGCTTCGCCGAGGGCTCTAATAACCGAGTTGACATGTTTGCGGTGTTCGTCAAGGGTATCAGAATAGACAAGAACGTCGTCTATATACGCTGTACAGAAGATATCGAGGAAAGGACGTAGGACTTCGTTGATCCTAGCCTGAAAAGTGGCAGGTGCGTTGCAGAGTCCAAATGGCATAACCAAGGACTCGAAGAGGCCGTATCGGGTGTTGAAGGCTGTGAGCCACTCGTCTCCTTCTCGTATACGGATTCGGTTAAAGGCAGCGATGACGTCGAGTTTAGTGAAGTATTGGGCTTTGCTCAGGCGCTGGAGTGTCTCCTGGAGCAATGGAATTGGGTATCGATTCTTGATTGTGATATCGTTCAGGGCACGGTAGTCAACGCAAAAGCGTAAGCCGCCACCTGGCTTCTTAGCAAAAAGAACTGGCGAGGCTGCCGGAGAGGAGCTAACACGTATAAACCCCTTATCAAGTTGTTCTTTTAGGTACTTGCGGAGCACCAGCAGCTCCCCAGAAGTCATATTATATAGAGGGCCGTACGGGGGCTTAGTACCTGATTTGAGCTCAATCTTGTGATCGCAATCACGGTGGGGTGGGAGGATATCAGCATTCTTCTTGCTAAAGTACTGAAGGCTTTCGTGAAAATGGGGTGGAAGCTTAGAGGCTGGGTCGGTAGAGGGTTTCCCACGGTCGAGTTTGTCGAGTGCGATTTTGATATCATCTAGGGAGGCACCGGAGAGGTATAGCTGAGCTGCGAGCTGGTGACGTTCAGGGGGAGGTGGTTCTGGAGGGCTTCCGTAAAGCAGGTAGTCCTTGAGTGTGTAGGTCGGTGGCGTGTAGTGTCTAGAAGAGAAATCCAAGGAGGTTTGTGAATCCATAAGGTTGGTTTCCATAAGTGATGAGTCCCGCTTATGCTGCTTGCCTAGCTTGTACCCAGCGTCTAAAGTGACGTGGTAAAGCTTTGTATCAGTGTCGTCGTGAGGGTAGGAGACTTGAAGCTCGTCGAGTCTCTTGTCAATTTCGTATAAACTAAGCGAAAAGACCTCTACGCCACGCTTCTGAGTCAAGGCGTGGAAGAGGGCAGCGTTGATACGTCTCGGAGAGCCTGTAATAGGATCTTGAGAAGTGGAGTTCGTGTGCGTGTTTGTGTGCGTGTTCGTGTGCGTGTTCGTGTATGNAAGGCGTGGAAGAGGGCAGCGTTGATACGTCTCGGAGAGCCTGTAATAGGATCTTGAGAAGTGGAGTTCGTGTGCGTGTTTGTGTGCGTGTTCGTGTGCGTGTTCGTGTATGTATTTGATTTAGGGCGTGTGCGTGAGGGGCAGTAAACTGTGTGCGCCGGCCAGTCGTTCATCCTGGAAGGCATACAATGGTGTCGACAGAAGACTTTATTAAACTGGATCGTACGAGTAACCCAGTTTATATCAGGATTGTGCTTCACAAGCCAGGAATGGCCCAGAATCACTTCGCGTTCGTGGAGTTCAGTGACATAGAATCGTTGACGAGGATCGAGGTGGGAGCCTATNTTTGATTTAGGGCGTGTGCGTGAGGGGCAGTAAACTGTGTGCGCCGGCCAGTCGTTCATCCTGGAAGGCATACAATGGTGTCGACAGAAGACTTTATTAAACTGGATCGTACGAGTAACCCAGTTTATATCAGGATTGTGCTTCACAAGCCAGGAATGGCCCAGAATCACTTCGCGTTCGTGGAGTTCAGTGACATAGAATCGTTGACGAGGATCGAGGTGGGAGCCTATTCTCAGATTTAATTCGACGTAGTGGGTGACACTCCCAGCTACTGAAAGAGATCCATCTACTGTCGTCAGGCGACGAGGGGTAGACAGAGGTAACAAAGTAAAGGAATGACGTTGCGCGAAAGAAAGATCAATAAAACCCCCAGCAGTAGCACCAGAATCGAGCATAGCGGAAGTAGTTACAGACAAAGGCTCTAGATCAGGATTTGTACTTGCTGTATCGACTAGAGTACAGGGAATCTCAAGTAACCCAGTTTGAGTCCTAATAGAAGAGATCTTTAGCTTAAGACAGCGTCTCCGAGAGCGACGATTCTCAGAGACTACGCATTTCCCGCCAGTTCTTCCTTTACTTCGGCAGAACAGGCACTAGCCTTCTTCTCCTTCTTCATCCGTTCCTTGAAGTCTCTCAACTTGGGGCAGGTGTCACGATCGTGTTCGCTGGAGCAACAGTAGAAGCAGAGCTTATGCTCGTAGCAAAAGTTGCGACGGGCATCCTTTTCAGCCTGGTTCTTGGTGCGGCGGCCGCTGTGTACATCTTCCCAGGTCCAGGCCTTAGAGAGTTGGTTGGCATCAAGTTCCATAGGGTCTCCCAAAGGAACAGGAGCTGTGGGTGTGATTGGGGGGACGTAGGGCGTTGGTGTAGGGACAGGTACGTGAACAGGAGTAGCGCGAGCATGGCTGATTGGTTTGAGATAGTCGGAGGCACCGCCAGATACAAGCTTCAACAGTTGATCAGCCTCCTTGGCTAGGACAGCCAATTCAGCGATAGAACTAGTTGGGCTGTACTTGCCGGTGAGCTTCATCTGGTGAACAATAAGAGGGTTGAGGGATTGGGTAAAGTTGAGGGTAGCAAAGGCATCGTTACCGTAACCAATAGTCGCAGCAGTGCCTTGCCACTCAGCGATAAACTGAATCGTTGGGGTCGTGTTCTGTCTCATACTTATGAGTTTCTTGTAGGTGTTGTCTTTGTGTTCCGGGTCGCTGTAGACTGATTTGAGGAGGTCGAGTATATCCTGAGAGGTTTGGAGAGTGTGGAAGCTGCCATCAGAAGCGTAGGGCTTAACAAGAGCAAGAGGCTTGCCACTCAGTAAGTTGAAGACGTAGCGCATCTTATCCAACTCAGTACTAAACCAGTCCTTGTTCGCAGCTAGTTTCATCTGCAATTGGATCAGGAAGTTGTCAAGCTGGCTTGGGGTAACGTTCTTGCCATCAGCGCCGAGATTCGGTGGATCCTTAAACCAAGGAGTACGTTGTTGGTGAATGACTTGTTGTTGGGCAGCAGGCTGGTTAGCTTGGCTAATGAGGGTTCGGACTTGACTATTGAGCTGCTGAATTCTTTTCTCAGCGAGATGGAGTTCTGCGGTGGAAAGAGTAAGCTTATCGTTGAGTTCGCTGATTGAGCTGTTAGAGGAGGTAGTGGCGGTGCGGAGCTCTTGCTCGAGTGTTTGAATTCTGGCTTGAGCGTCACTAAGGATTGCGGTGTCGGCAGTAGCTTTGAGGGCGTTATCAGCGTCAGCAAGCCTACTTTGAAGGTCTCTAATAGTGGTGGCAGTCTTGTTGAGTCGTTGTTTGTAGTCGTTGAGTTCGTTATTTGCAGTTTCGGCGGTCGTAGCGCTAGTATCAGCTTTGGCTTGGATTTTCGCGATGTCTGATTTTGCGTGTTGTAGGTCTTGTAGGTACTCGTTGCACTTCATTGCAAGGCTGGAGTAATCGTCACCATTGGGATCAGCAGTAGCTTTACCGTCAAGTTCGAGAACTAGCTGCTGGAGGGCGACCTGTTCGTGGACGAAGGCTTGACCATTCTCGCCGTTTAGCATAGCGAACAGGTCGTTGATGCTACCAACAGCCGCGTGTGCCTGGAAGCGGTCGCTTGAATTCCCGTGAAGTGGGAAGATCTTCTCGTCGAGGTTCATTATGTTGGGGGGTCGTGAGGATTTCGATAGGTATCTGAGAGCCCGCTGAGCGCACTNCAGCTACCAACAGCCGCGTGTGCCTGGAAGCGGTCGCTTGAATTCCCGTGAAGTGGGAAGATCTTCTCGTCGAGGTTCATTATGTTGGGGGGTCGTGAGGATTTCGATAGGTATCTGAGAGCCCGCTGAGCGCACTGGAGGTTCGTGAGTCGTGGAGGTTCAGGGGTTCGTAGTGTGTTGTTGGTAGTCAATATGTGAGAATGCACGTCTAGGACAGTACAGGTTGATAGATTAAATTGACTACGAGGAGCGAAAGAGGTCCCAGGACCTGAAGCTATTTGAAGTTGAGCTCGTCGCCTCGTGGCTCACGTGACTAAAACCACATTCACTATACACAAATCAAAATCGTCACAATGAGCTCCGGTTCGGGTAGCCTAATTCGACTACTACTATAAAGATAATAACAAAACAACTAATTACTACTAATTTAACAAGTATTACAAGGTTAATTATTATTAGAGGATCATCTACGATTAGAGGAATATAATATAAAAATAGCGTTGTTAAGATAGGAATTACAAGTAAGGATTATAGCTATTATAAATAACCTAGGAGGAGCATTTAGTACTACGGTAGGACCGGTGTAAGTAAGTACAGGAAGTAAGCAGAGTTTAGGTAGTAGATAATAACAATTAAGGTAAGCTATTAGATAGATAAAAATAACTCCTACTATAATTTCAAGGGATTAATTATAACATATAGTAGATATTGTACTAGAGAAATTCGACCTAATTAACGTCTATAAATTAACTTTTACAACGGATTTCAGCGACAACGAGAGGGACTATAATATAGTATTCGATAACAGAAAGATAAAGAGTACAAAGGTTAAAAATAAATTAAAGGATTATAGAAATATATATATAATTTAAAGTAAAGGTTTTAGGTAGTATATATTAATTATTAACGTCTTTTTCAAAGATAAATACCTAATCCTAAATAGTGCTTAAATAGTATTCTATAACAAGATATTAAGATTAACAAAATTGTAAGACTAGCTAAAAGGTGTCCTTTTACTAGTAATCTAATTCTATAAGGAACGAAAGTTTTAAAACAATTTATATAATACTAATAAGTAGCTTCTTCCAGAATAATATATTATATAATACTATTATCTATACCCGAGGATACCGAACTAAAACAGTAGTAGATTAGGTACAGGTAAACAAGGAGGTAGAGTTAACAAAGTTAGGTTTAAGAAAGAGCTAAATAACATATTAGCTTTATATTATAACTTTAATAATTTTACTTGTACCGCTACCTAGTATAAACGCTATTTTAATTATATAAGATATAAGGGAAAATATATAATTAAGGAATATAGAGTTAACAGCTCTAGTATAAGTAATAGGGCTTTAAATAACAAGAAAGGGGAAAAACTAGAAGACTTTCAGGACTTGTAGTTGTCTATGTACAAGAAGATTCGATTGTCCTTCCCAAAGCAGCTTCCCAGCCCTCTCTATATACCACAGAACTGGCTACGTGTCCTTTACCAATACTCTAGAAGGTTCCACCAAGTCTGCTTAAAGGTCACGTGCACATGTCGCTGGAGCACTCCAAGATTCACTCCACGGGTGCAACCCTTGACAATGTAACCGTGTGGAGTGAACCACTGCTTGCTGTGATGAATACGGAGTCAAACGGAAACTGCTGTATTGAGCGAACAAACGTGAGGATTTCGATAGGTATCTGAGAGCCCGCTGAGCGCACTGGAGGTTCGTGAGTCGTGGAGGTTCGTGAGTCGTGGATGTTCAGGGGTTCGTAGTGTGTTGTTGGTAGTCAATATGTGAGAATGCACGTCTAGGACAGTACAGGTTGATAGATTAAATTGACTACGAGGAGCGAAAGAGGTCCCAGGACCTGAAGCTATTTGAAGTTGAGCTCGTCGCCTCGTGGCCCACGTGACTAAAACCACATTCACTATACACAAATCAAAATCGTCACAGCTACCTTCTAAGATAACTTTATAAGATAAACTAAATATAACCTTATAGAATATAAAAGAACCTAGGTAACCTTTATATGTAATATCCTTTTTAATTAAGGAATTTATTTATTAGAAACTAATTCGAAAATATAAATAACCTACTATAATACTATATAGGAGGCTCTTAATTAATACTATCTATATACGTAGATATATAACGATCTAGTTTAATACTTTATAAAAGTAATAGGTCTAAAGTCTACTAGCCTTATTACTCTAATAAAACACTTTAATAATTATCTAGAATTATAAGATAACAAAGTTAAACCTAATATTCTAAGTATACTATAATTAGCTCCGATAGAATTATCTATTATAACTATAGTAGTAAATCTACTACTAAATACTAGCTACTTATATATAAATTAACCTAGACCCGGACCTTTAACTATAATAGTGTAACGAATACTCAAACTGGCTAACTAAACTTGGCTGGGTGTTCGCTGGTTGGTATGCTATGATAAGAAGAAGACTATCGGGTTGTTCACTTGGAAGTGAACTCGTTACTTGTATCAAAGATGTCAAACTAATATGATAAGATTGATAACTAAGTTGAGCACGAAGCTCCTATCTAATGGCAGACGTGCCAGTCTTATATAGAACCTTCGTGTTCCTGAAGTCGACAATGTCGACCTGCATATATCACGTGACTTATATACAAAGAAATCCCTGGATCGCTTAACTAACCTAAGCGATCCCTTTTTGCTATAAGAGCCATGATGTGTTTGTCCTGTCAGAACCCCGTCTGGACTAACTCCTCACGTGCTAGCACGTGATTTGTGACACTAAGAGCTAAGCTTATCTAAAATAAACCTTAGCTATTTATATAGAATAATAGTTATTATATAATAATTTTATTTCTATTTACTTATTACCCTTAGATACTAACTATAATAAGTCCTCTATAAGATATAAATGTAACCGTGTGGAGTGAACCACTGCTTGCTGTGATGAATACGGAGTCAAACGGAAACTGCTGTATTGAGCGAACAACAAAGTGAGGAAGGAAGAGAGTTCCAGAGGAACGAGAGCTTAAATACAGGATGCCAGCAGCGCGCACGTGACACATACTACATGCTGCGCTACACGTGATCAACCCCTAGTTCCTCCAACTCCGTAACAATAAAGATAGCTATACTATAACTAATATTACTATTAAGTATAGTTAAATAAGGCTAATAGTTTAATATTTAGCCCCTTTAAAAGTATTTAATTAACTATTTATCTAGTCTCTATCTTTCTAAGCTATAATAAATAACTAGTAATTAATAGTAGTAGTTATAGAGGCTAGAGAGAAGATAGATAAGAGAATAGATAAGATAGAAACTTTTATTAATATTTTATTACTACTAAGTCTTAAGTTTTAGTATTTAAGCTACCTTTCTCTTTTTAAGGTAAAAGTAAATATAAGATTTAATAATAATACTTATTTTAATAGTAAGATATAGCTATTTACTTTAATATTCGAATAAAGCTTTTTACTACTAGATTAAGTAACTCTATATATATATTTAAACTTTTACTACTTAGCCTTAATACTATACTTTACTCTTCTAAAAACTTACTAGGTTTTTATAACTACTACTCCTTATCCTAGCAGCCCTTAATAGTATTTATAATATAATAACTACTACTTATCCTAGTAGCCCTTAATATATTATAAAGAATAGAGGGGGTATTTAAGTTATAGCTAGATATAAAGGTAGTTTTTTATATAGGTATTTATTAAAGGATATATAGAAGTAGAGGTAGTTCCTTATATATAGAATTATTAAAGAAGGTATAAGAGTAGTAGGAGTTCTTTATATATATATTCTTTATATTATATATAAAATGTAACGAATACTCAAACTGGCTAACTAAACTTGGCTGGGTGTTCGCTGGTTGGTATGCTATGATAAGAAGAAGAATTATCATATCAGTTTGACATCTTTGATACAAGTAACGAGTTCACTTCCAAGTGAACAACCCGATAGTCTTCTTCTTATCATAGCATACCAACCAGCGAACACCCAGCCAAGTTTAGTTAGCCAGTTTGAGTATTCGTTACACTTACCTTACTAGCGACCTACTAGCTATTTTATAGCCGAGACTACCTAATAGATATAGCCGAGAACTAGTTAGTATTAGTAAGATAATAAAGGAATCTATAAAGTTTAGAGAACTAGGAAATAACTTCCGGGAATAACTCTAGATTTTTATAGATATTTATATAATAGTTAGACTAAATAATAATAATTAAGCCTTTTTATTAGTACTACTCTACCTATTAAAAGAACTAGTACTTTCATACTATAATAGTAGTATTTATCCTTTAAATATACCTTTTCGCTAGGCTATATATTTACTCGCGAATTACTTCGAAAATAAGAACTACTAAACTAATAGTCTAGCGGACTAGAATTCGACTACTTTATATACTATTAAAGTAAAGTACTCTAAACTATAACTATCCTAGGTTTTTAACTTATATTTAAAGGAGTTAGAGATAATTAAACTATATCTTATAATAGAGTTTCGTAGCGATTCTATATTACTTAAGTATCTTATAATTAAATACCGAGACTTTAAAGTATATTATATAATATATAATAACTCTTTAGATATTATCTCTAGTTTTATTTAAATACTTTAAACCTTAATTATAAACGAGGAATATACTAATAATTAATACTCTACTTATATTATACTTAATTAACTACCTAGTTAACTTATAAAAGAAACTTTATTTATAAATTAGCGCTTCGGAAACTAAAGCGAGTTACGTAGACGGCCCTATTAATAAGAATCTACTATAAAACATACTATAAAATAGTAGATATAAGTTATATGTAATTCTTTTTATATAGTACAAATCTCTAAATTACACGAGCCAAACACCCCCTAAACTCACAACATCCTCACTCACCCCATACACCAATCAATCCCCAGCACAGTCACCCCCTCCCACACCACTTTAACAATTAAACACTCAAATAACACATCCAGCGCTTAACTACAGTTCGTTCACAGCAAAATAGGATCAAATGGCCCCGTGGGAAATGAGACGAGTGACAACTGTCGGCCGCAAGAGACAACATTAGATAGTTTCTCGGTACCTTACAAGTCAGCTGGCTGATTCCAGGTGCTTGGGTATTTCTTTTGCTGTTTTATTCCCTGGTGTGGGGGGAAGAGGGGATTTGAATTCTTTTGATCTTTGCTTTTGGTTTTTGGTCGAGGTTAGAGAGAGGGGGAATAGGTGGGGGAATAGGTGGGTGAATTGGGAGGTGGTTGATGGTTTTGATATTAGTAGAAGGAGTTGTATCAAAGAAATATTTGAGACCAGGTTCTACGACCTTCACACGTGATAGAGTGAGCTACAGCAAATGGAACGATTATCTTTCGAAAATCCAACCGCCCAAGATCCTTCTAATCTCTCAGAGTCGCGATGATCACGTCCCGGAAACCAAAAACCCCTTCATTATTTTTGAGAGGAGCCATGAGTTCAAAACACAGAAAGTGAGGCCGCAGAGTTAATAAGTATCCCTTTAAACCTCGCGGATGCTCTTGCAAGGGCAAGCATACCAATTATTATATCGCCATGTGCAACGAGCTACGAAGGGAGCGGTCGAAAGCTGCCGGGTAACATGTAATACGATGCTGGCTGGAAAGAAAATAAGGTTTTATGGATTCGTTCTCATCTGAGGGAGACACTGGGATTGCTTCTGTTGCGATATATTCACGTGTTTATTCACGTGATATTTCGGGCTATATATACGCCTGGATTCCACGTAGCAAACACACAATCATAATCATATACTACTACTACTTTTGTACTCGTTGTCGTCTACTTTTGCTACTGTTTTTGTACCCTAATTATCCCACCAAGTTATACCAACAGCTTCTGAGGCGCAGAGAAAGTAAGATCAAAGGCTTCATATCTTCTGGTTGCTATGGAACGAGGACGAGGGCAATGGCGATACGATTGCCAATTGGGTATTCGCAACAAGCGGATTCAGAATATCAAGGTAAGAAGTAGTACTGGTATGGAAATAGAAAGCAGTGCCGGTCAATGTATAGCAAAGAGCTAGGAAAGGAGGTCTGGGAGTCACCAACAAGCTCTTGGAAAGCGAAGGGCATCTTTTGGACACCATGGAAAACTGATGATGAGGATGAGGTAATAGCCAATTAGGATTCACGGAACGCCGAGAGTAGACAGAGAAGAATTGTCCAGAACCGTGTTCAAGAGTACGTGCTAGGTGCCTGATAGTTACACAAATCATGAGCCCCCAAGAGCAGGAGTCCCCATGTCAATAAAATATTGAGTAAATAAAAGAATTCCTTCACTTCACCATTCATCTGATACAAGGAGGACTTAGATTGAACCTCTGGCCTGTTTATATTACAGCTTTGGCCTGACCTGAAATGAAATCAGCAAATCAGAGGCTCAGATCTAGGTAGTAAAGACTTTTGTTACATGAGATATAGTTACAGTGTCCAGCTTCAGGCCGCCGTCTTATATACATTAGAAGGCGGAAACTAATCCTAAGAGTATACTAGATCCCAAACTTATGAAAACGACACATAAATTACCATTACAGATTTGAACAGTCTTAATTTCTTACCAGCCTCCTATTCACTATCCAGCCTCTGTCTTCTCAAGAAGAGCAAAAAAGGCATGCATTCACTTTAGACCAAACTTCCAAGCATGAAGAAACACCACACAATTAAACAGACACCCTTCTTCATCCACATGATATTCATGCCGCAGTATACATCTAACCCTTTCTCCTCTACCACTCCTTAGTTGGGTAAAGTAAGTACAGGTTCGTTCATCTCAGGTAGCACACCGCGAACCCATTTTTGGTATAATACAAGGTCCCCTTTGGCTCATCCCCATCACCTAACCTGTAGACCTACTTCCGAATCCGTAATCATATATTCTTGCCCTGCAAATCATAAAGTGTCGGTAAAAGACAACAGAGTAGGCATCTTACTCATACTAGCGCCTATGCACAATCCCTCAAATTTAGGAGGCAAAAAAAACCCGTCGCTTCCTCGCTCCGATGTATGAACCTTGAACGCCCCCAATTCGCATGTAAAGACAAACAGGTTTCCCTGTCGCATCCATCCATTGACTCGATCATCCGTCGAGTTATCGATGCTTTCGTAACTCATTCAATACCCCTAACAATACTCTGATTGCCAAGTATTCTTGGGGCTTCATTCATTGCCTTTCAGCAATGCTCGCAATGTCAAAATCTCCCTCTTCAATTTCGCATTCTCCTTCTTCATCTTGGCCGCCTCTTCTCCCTGCTCCTTGGCCGTCGCCACAAGAAATTCTTTATCATCCTTGCCCTTTCCCTTCAACGCCTTAACAATCTTCCCCAATTCGCCATTGAACTTTTCATACAGGAGCTCGTTTTCCGCGCTACTCTCTTTGTAAAGTTGATCGATAGCTTTGACTTTATACTCGGAGGCTTGAAGACTCTTTTCCATATCCGCTTTGATGGATTCATTGCGTGCCGTGAAATCCTGTACAATTTCCGGGATCTTCGCCTCGAGGTTCTGTACAGCTGCGGTGAGCTGCTCAAGACCTTGAGAGCGGACAGCAGATCCGGCATTAATACGAGCCATTTCTTCACCGATTTTGGAGAGCTCGTTTTGAAGCTCTGTCTCGGCCTCGCTGATGACAGTCTTTTCGAGATGGATCCGCTCACGGAGTTTCTGCGTGCTTTGAAGACGAAGTTTCTGTGGCGAAGCCTTTCCTCCACTTGTAGCGGGTCTAGAGACGCTTTCTCGTCGATTGGCACGCAGAGTCGGAATATTTGATGATAGAGAAATGGATTTGGAATGACCCTTTAACTTTCCTGGAGACCACGTGGCTTTGCCCCCAGCGCCGTCTGGGGAATACATGATATTTCCAGAAATTTCGGTCAGGTTTCCCACATTCCTAGAACCAATTCCGGTGGGGGAATTTTCTTTTTGCTTTGGCGAGCCAGTAAGAAAGACCGCTGATCTACCCCTGTCACCATTCATAATAGGAATCTTCGTGGGAGTTCTCGGTGATAGGTTAAGTTTCACATCTTTATCGTGGTTTGGCGGAGACGAAACCGGCGAGCTTTCTCCCAATGTTGCAGCGGCCATCAGACTCTTCAAATCAGACAGAGAGCTTCGACGACTTTTCTTGTCGCTTTTGGGAGCGTCTTCCTTCTCCTCGGGAGGCGGTGAAGCGCCGATGGTACTGAGTCTAGATGACGGCTGGCCTTGTGAACTCGATGGTCTGTCGTCAAATGCACCCAGAACAGTGGCTCTATCCCGAGACATTGGACGCCTGTGTTGTGATTCTATGGATTTTGAACGGCTGAGGGAAGACCCCTTAGATATGCTCGAGGGGATGGGCTCCCCAGTAGCAACACTGCGATTCGTCTTGCTTAATGTTCTCCATACGGAGGGTCGATCATCTTTGGTGCTATTCTGTCTAAGAATTGTGTCTGCGAATCGCCGTCGGAATGAAGATGTGTTTGAGGTGATCGAAGCATTAGCCGAGGCAGGAGTGGACCGTAGCGATCCGAAGTTTGAATTGTTCCCATTAATAGCCCCAGGGCCAATGTCTTCAAACAGCTTATCCGATTCCTCTACCATACGATCTAGCAAGTTGATGTAATCGTGCGGGTTACCGTCAGTCACCAATAGTTCAGCGAAGGCCACGGTAAGAGCCCCTCGATCTCCATCATTCCCACATCCTTCCAGGAGATCCGCCAAAAGCTTGATGACTGCAATGAAGGCCCTTCTATTCTGCGGTGCCATTTCACCAAGAATCGTTCGAACGTAGTCGGCAAAATCACCAGAAAATAATTTGTTAGCCCTGTCCTGCAAGCCATCTAAAGTGCGTGCTGACATGACTTGACTCATTTGATCTTTCCAAGCCATCCTTAAATATTTTTCAAAAGCCACAAAAATGATATCAACGGATACTTCTGAAGCTGCTCTTTGATCAAAGGGGTTCTCGATAAAGGTATTGTAGATGGCATTTATTGTTAATTCATCGGCATTTGCACGACTTCGCAAAACTTTGCCGACAATGTTACCTTTTCGACATTGCAGAGCACAAATGTAACCGGTGAATGTTTCTTCAAGACGGACAAGTGGATTTACGGGGCGACTGTCACCGTTGGTTCCGCGAAGACTACTTTTTCCGTCCATAACCTCTGAAACAGAGTGTGTCGATCTGTTGCTATCTGTCCTTGTGAGCTGCGGCAACTGCATAATAGGAACATTCCCAAGCCCCGGGGTTCGAGGTGTTCTCAGTGGAGAAGTGTGAGATGAGCCAGAATCCTTGAAAGACGAGGTTGAACTATTGAAACCACCACTCAGAAAGCTTGAGATCAACTTTACCGGCGAAGCGGGCCTTAAATTCTTCTTGTCGCCCTCTACCTGTACATGGAGAGATCTTAAGATTTTGGTGTTGAACGACAAAAATGGAGCAACGAGAGTGGCATTGCTGCAATGATGTTGTGAGCGAAGGAAGTCGACGGCTAAGCAAATTAGTATTGGTTAGATCAAAATGTAGAAAACGGAGTGTCTGCATACCTCTCTTTGCAAAGGTTGGCAGGAAGTGCTCGGCAACAACTTCGTCGACAAACACTCTGTCGTGAAGACCACCAACCTCCAATCGATATTTTGCTCCATTATTGATGACGTTGACGTTGGAAACAATCTCGACCCCATAATGACCAACCGGTGCACCCTTTGTTCCTTTTTCGTGATCAACCACAATGCGTATGGGAGCAGGCTCTTTTCTGCCCTCAACCAGCGTGTCGATGCCTTCCTCGAAAACAGCGGTGTGAAAGCTAATTTCTGCCGCAAGTAGTTTCGACGTACGAAGAGACCATTTATCGGTTTCTCGTTCAGCTTCTGAGAATCGGCCTTCCACTTTTGCTCTAGCAATTTCCTCGGTGAATTTACCTGCCTTGCCTTCATACGCACCTTGAAGCAAGAAACTGCGAATAGTAGCTGCCTGATTTCTTCTGTCATGCACAGTTGCAGTAAAATCCCGAATTTCCTGAAGACAAGTCATCCAGATACCCCGTCCGTCTTCAGATGTGGTAAACCGGGTATCGCTCACAACGTGCCAGCCAGAAAAGCCCAGTTCATAAACCTTTTTTTGACCACCCGCAGCAGCAGTCATCGAGGCCATCATTGAAACTGCCGAAGGCTTGTCGATCTCCGCCATCACTCCCCTAGCTGATAGGCTGCATTCTCTGGCCTTTCGAAGTACCACAACAACGTCTGCGAAAACGAGGAACATTCCTTCTCTGAGGTTGCCTGATGGTCCAACATGAAAAGGAGCTGAAAGCTCTACGAAGTCAACCGCAGTGATCAGTCGACCTTGAGGTTTTAATGTCGTGGGCCAAGATTCGATTATGTGCTTCAACCGATTAACGACTTGCGAGTTATCTGCGGTGGGTGGGTCCATTGAGCAGATAGAAGTAATGATATCTCTTGCCTTTAGCATCGGCTGTAAAGCAGGGTGGCCAACTGGAAGATAATTGACTATATTATCGATAAAGAGGCTGTAGCGTGGTAATCGTTGAACCGGTTCAATTACAGCAGACCTGAGGCGTTGCTCCCCAGTTTCATGAACGCGTCTAGAAAAGCTCGTCTGTTGTTTTACAAAAATCGTGATGATATTGGGAAAGTCCTGGCTTGCCCGAATATACTCTTGGTAGGATTCGGTAAACTGAGGAAACCATTCCAGAAGTACTTTGGCAAAAGCGAGTGCCCCAGTAGGATCCTTCATACGACCTGAGCCCCCATGACGGGATCCTGTGGAAGTGGCAATTGGACTTTCCAAGTCGCGCATGGCCTCCTCTTCTGTCTCGTCCATGACTTTACGAATGGCGGCTAAAAATGCCGAGTTGATTTGTAAAATCCGATCCAGACATCGGGGAAAGAGCTTTTGTAGATCTTCTTCCGAGGGACTGAAACTTCCAAATGTCCGGGTCTTGGCTTTGGTGCGATAGTCATCTGCGATATGGTTGACCAATTCATGCATTTTAATCACATATCGTTCTTCTGTATCAGATAGTTCTCCCATCTCCCTGCGAAGAGACATTTTCTGGTCCTTCAAAAACGATTTCGATCGATTTATAGAGGAAGCCCTGGATGGGGCTCTGCGTAATCTGGAGGTTGGGAGGAAAGTCGTTTCACCGAACAATTTCACTAATGGTGCGTACACGCCGTACTGCTGCAATTTCGGATCCTGAATCTCGTCCTCATCTATAATATCATCCATGTCTAGCTCTTGAAACGGGGCAATCGAGCCTGGAGGCAGGACTAAATCGACGTCTACATGATTGATGCTCTGTGGGCGCAAGGCTGACTGCAGGTCACATATAATATCTCCAGTATTATCCAGCTTGACCATTGACCCAGCAAGGGCTGCGGCATGAGGTTCGTCAAATAGCGATTGTGCTGATCCAGGTCTTTTGTTTCGAGGGGTTGCCGATTGAAGAATTAGACCGCCTTTCACCGTCTCTGGTAACTCCTTGAAGTACTTCAACAGACCGAATGCCAGTCCTCGACATATTTCGTCTCCTTGTTTATCGCGTGGCAGATGGTTTACAGACTGGTAGAAGGGGGAATTCGGGGAGATGGTGATGCGTGGATAGCTTTGGAAACCGGCAGCTGTGAAGATGTGGACTTGTATTCGGGAGCTGTTATGGGTAGAGTTGCCGGTGGTAGAAGGACCATGGAATACAAATACTGGCAGATGTCCCAGGGCCGGGTCAGTGGTATAGTATAGGGTAACTTCGTCTTGCGACAGAGCCAGCTCTTCTGTGACTCGAACCATGGTGGATGTGGATGTGGTGTGGTATTTGCGCGTTGGCGGTTGGTTCGTTGAGGGTCACTCAATGGGTCTTCATGACGAGGCCTTCGAAATCAATCAGATGAAATTCCAAATGCCCAGTGTGTTCGCGTTCGTGCCTCCTCTCAGGCGGTATGAGTGGTCGCGAAATTGGAGTCTGCTGCACCGGTCACAGATACACACCGTCGTGAGAGGACCAGGTTCGGTTGGTTGGGGGGAGCTTGCGGAGCCCTGTTGCTCGGTACGAGGGACAACAAAAACACAGCAGAACGCGTCCACGTCGTGTATTTTTGAGGCGATGCAGATGCAGATGCAGACACACATACAATCAGGTCATCCGATATCCCATCGTCCAGTGGGATTGGGCAGCTTCAATGTCGTCAACTGCACGGCGCTGGTCTCTCGGCCGGTGTAGGAGCAAATCGGAAAATGTTGACAAAACCGGGTCTGGCTGAGAAGTGGGAGAGAGTGGAGTGGGAGGTGTCTGAGGATAAAAAAAGATTCAGCCTCTCGGAGGTTTGGGGGGGATCCCCACTATGGGACGCGATGATTGGACCGGGCCCCTGAACAAAGTCAACAATGACCCCGCATCACCTTCGGACGACTCCCTGACTCCTGACATCACCAGCAAACGGAACGAAACAAAACATCACAGCCCACCTGCCGTCCATACGAGTAGCGAGCCCCGACCACAGACCATAGAAACACCTGGATATCCTTATATTCAATACTGATATCGGCACAAATACCTAGATATCTTGCCATCATGGCCACGCAGTATCAGAATGACATTCCCTTCTCTGCGAGCCATTCCCAGCAGTCGTTCAAACTTCTCGAGTTGCCTCCAGAGCTCTTAGCACTGCTCGAGTCAGAAAACCCGCCAGTGTTTGTCCAACCCACCAATGCCTTGCGCCTCCGTCCACAACACAAGAGCTGACATGCCCACTAGGCTCTCGATAACATCCTCTCCTGCTACCGAGACGACGCCCGGCTATGCGATCCTTTCTTCGGGCGACAAGAAATACCAAATGCGACAAAAGAACACCTCCAACCCCATCATGCTCCTGGAACCATCTTCCACCAAACCTACCGATGCTGATGATGGCGAGACCTTTATATCACAGCCTTCCGTCACTGCAATCTCCAAAATTGAGGATACAATTGAGCTGATTCTGCAGGAAGGTGAGGCGAAAGCTCCACCAAAGGTCAACAAATGGCATGAGAAGTTTGCAAAAAGCCGAGCTGGAAAATAAGATGTATGTTTGTTGGAGCATCTTGCAATGAAAGACTCAAACAATCGTTGCCGAATCGTTGTACGCGAGAGATTGAATTCTCCAGGACCGATTCCGAATGTCGAAGATAGTCCAGCGAAATGCATTTTCCTCTCAAAGTTGTGTAGGTCCTCTGCGTTCTCTCAAGAACTTGCCAAAGTCTTCGAACTTGTCACGGCAAACTCCACAAACAACGGCCCGTCTGGAAAGAAACAAATATTAGCATGGTTCCTCTCCCAAGTACGGACGTACTTACGGGCTCATGGAATGCCACTTCTTTCTCTTTTCGTCTGCTACAATAAATCTGGCGAATTTGCAACAAATCGCTATCTTCTTTTTGTCGTGTCCGAACTTCTTTGCCATCCAAGTACTCATGATACCCTTTATCTCCACCAATTCATTTCCCATCAGTGGTATTTGAAATCTGAGCCAAAACTTCGGGGGGTCACAGGACTCCTTCTTATCGTGGTCCTTAGCATCAATGCCCTTTTTATCATGATATTTGACCAGTTTCTCAAGGAAAAACGGGCCTGTGAGTGCGAGACGAACTGTGGAAGGCGCATCGAGAAAACCAAAGATGCGAACGAGGATATCAGATTCCAGTGTTTCGAAAGAAGCCGGCAAACGGGTGAGGATGTCGTCAAATGCCGGAAAATTGGTGGTGACAATCCTAAGGGGAGCACCTGGAAGGACTTTAGTCATTTTCTCGGCCCATTTTGAGATCAGAGGCTGGTCTATGATGAGGTTTGTGTGAGACATTTTGAGATTTCTGGAATTTTGATAAGAAAGTCTGGTAAGTTTGGGAAATGGGAAATGATGGTTTCTTAGAGATTATACTCTGCGCCGACGCCTAGTTCTATCGACCCTTTTTTCCCACGTCATAATCTTCGGTCATCATATTAACTAGACTCGACCTAGAAGATTTTTTATCTGGATGGACAAGCCGATGGGTGCACCAAACCAGCTAGTCGGGAATTTCAGACGCATACTACACTTATTCAAGTGAGCCCACTAGTATCTCATTCTAGTCGTAATCGCAACAAGATCTAAAACTACCATTCCAGAAACTCTGTTTAAAAAAGAATATGTAACTATATCTACTACTAACACCCTAAATATCATCTTTGATTATAACCCTTTCATTACAAAATAGAATACTCCTACCTACTTTGGAACATCTCAAAAAGATATATATCTTGTATCCAACTTAAATACCCGGTGCAGAACTACACGCGACGGCACCAACGCTATACATAGCTCAAACAGGAATAAGAAAACTATTTAGATAGTACCATAATACTAGCAGTATTTCAAACCACGTGTATTTACCAAGACTTTCCACTTGTTCACTAATCACAAAGCAGTAAGTAGTAGAATAATTTAGTTTCCCGACATTCTACTTTGTTGCTAGGTATATAGGACAAAACGAGAAGTGCCCAGCAACGATATGATGAGACCTTGTAATCTTAGATATTTGATCGCTAGTTATTATTGCTTTTGTTAGACTCCATGCAGATTCAACTCTATACTACTGTAAAACGCACTGAGAAAACTTGTTTTGATGCTGTTTGGGGTGAGGTACAGATGAAAAGCGTATCGTGATATTACAGCCGGACTTGGGGTTTCCAGAAAGAAACTCACGTTCCACCCCATTTTTTGAACTTGCAGTCCTTTGGCCAGTAGCTTAGCTCTGGTACTATGTCCCGTGAAGGGAGTTTTTCAGGTTGGAATAAGTGCTTTAGATATACTCAACCGGTTCTTTAAGGTTCCATTCAACCCATACCTATATATCAACCCAGTCAGTATCATATCAAAAACCATCAATCAATTAAAAAAGGGAAGTCAACAAACCTCAGCACCCTTCCCACAAAACCTCTCCGTCATCTCTTCAATAATCTTCTCCGCCGCACTCCTCTCCTCCATAATCTCCTCCACATCCTCAGGATCATCCTGAAGCAGATCTATCTCATCATCCACCAGCTCAAAACACAAACTAACCCCCTTTTCCTTCTTATTCGCCATGCGAAAGAAATCCCCCAGCGCCTCCCAGTTATCAGGCACCATAACAGAAGGCTGAATCACAATGGTCAACTCGCTCAACCTCTTGTAATCCTTGAGCAGGCCCGCAAGTCGGGGTAACTGCGTCGGCTCTTCCTCAAAGTCAACATCCCAGTTGTTAGGCGTGACATTCATAACCACCTTCCTCACGCCCCCACACAACTCCCGCGTCCTCAACAGGGTAGCATAAGTAGCAAACGCCTTCTTCTCTCGCCTTTTGATGTACTCATCCGCGTAGCATTTAATCTCCATATACGCCTCCGCAGCGATCATAGGAAGCGCCTCATTGAAGATCTTCTTACACGTTAAGAGAAGCGGGAATCTATCGACGTTCATCCAGCGGATCCCGCCACGGACACCATCCGCTTTTTTATCGCCATGGACGAGGAAATCCGGGATGTTGTACTCTAGACTGCGGTGGCGGGAAAGGATGAACGTCAATTTGTAGATGAGGTTTCTGATTTCTGGAGGGAATTCTGAGAATGGGAAATGGGTTGTTGGGAATTGTCCGGTGAATGGTATCCTGGTTCCTGATGCAGTTGGGACGTTCATGGCGGTAGGTAATGATAGGGTTGTTTTGATTGGGTTGATGGTGATTTGATTGGAAGAATAATTTGCAATAGACTGGAGTTGGGTTAGAGAAAATGGAGGGGTTGTGTTTCTACAGTTGTGGACAGAATAAGTGGCGGAACACACCCTGGTCCGTGCACAGCTTTTAATGAAAGTCGTAATAATTACTCTGAAGTAAAAGCACTTACTTTTTCTATTACGTAAAGATGTTTTCGATACCTAACTTAGTTATCTTTCCTTCCTTTCTAATATGATCCCTGAGCTTCTGATTAATATAGGCATGTTGAGCGTTTTTTAGCGTACCTAAGGGGTTATATTTGTATATAGAAAGTCATCGCTTATTATGCACGGACCTATAGATGAACCGCCACTTTTTCTGTCCACCGCGAGGGTAGTAGGTATGCTGAGACCCGAGGAATGTGGGGGGCTGAAAAGACGCGAATGATTTTTGAGCGTGATCACGTGAAAGCATGCAAAAGATTCAGGTTCCGCGGTAGTACCCGTAAAGTAAATAAATGCGTGAGCGTGGGTGTGTGTAAATTCATGTCTTATCCACAGCTTTCAACCATGAAGTCTATCTACCCATCCCCCCTTATCCTAAGCCACCCCGCCAATACACACGAAAAAGATAACCAAAGTTATCTAGACACAATCACAAACGACCGCACCTGGTTCACAGGAGCTTTTTGGCCCAGGCTAGATTTTTTCTGGTCAGTTCCGTAGGCAAAAGGATAGAAAGGAGACTTATAAATAGAGATAGGGTGTGAGTAAATAGCAGGAAAGAGGTCGTACAACTTTCTGTTCCTCTCGGCATCTGAGCACGCATGATTGGACGCAACTTTGTGCTGTGCTTACTGAGGCGAAGGCGAGTGCTAGGACAACTTGGATGAGGCTGAAGGTCTTCATTTTTGCTTGGTAGATGTGGTTTTATGATAGGAAGTTGAGATTGGTACTTGGTTTGAAGTTGTAGTGGGTTTGGAAAAGTCGTTAAATGGTGAGGAGTCAAGGAAATGCGAACTAGAGGATTTGGAGGGGGAAGGCGGTTCTTATAGCATTGGAAAAGAAAGCACAACCGGGTAATCCTGAATTCATTGTATCGCTTTGAAGGTATAATCTGTTCGTGTTTAATACGAAGTATATGGAAAAGTTTATGGCCTGTTCGGCCTATGCAAACTCGGAAAGTACCATATAAATTAGAGTTTGTTGTCATGGTCTAACGAGTCTTTCCATTACATAGAACGGGATCAAATAGAAGCTGATCAGGATTCTAAAATGTACTATATCAACAAAGGAGGAGCTTGTGCTAGGTGTAAATAAGCCTAGATTTGTGATTTGAAATGTAACTTGATTCCCATTGTCCCAAGTGTCCTGAAGGACGTCTGCAAACTGCTTTTTTCTAACACATATACAATTACATCCTTTGAGTCTGTGCTCCATACAAGCTCCTGCAAAAGATAGTTAGTCTGGCAACTTGCCTGTTAATATAGGTAGTACCTTTCAGCTATCCTAGTTTTCTTAGAAATTTCATATACGTAACAACAGAGTTCTACATCCTATCCCTTCCAGATTCTGCATGTCCAAAAAAAAAAAACGTTCACGCAAAGTGGAGTAGAAGTATCCATTTTTCCAACATGTTCCCCATAAAACAAAGCCCTTTAGCCAACTATAGGTAGGTCACAGGTCTAAGCATTTGGGCCTCCATTTAACCCAGTTATCCAGTTAACGCATTCACTTTGAGTGCACGCTTTTTTGAGTCCTCCTATAATGCTTTACACTTTGGCTATAATGCTTGACAGCTGACTAAATGAGGGAAGTGGGTACCCGCGCCACGAAGTGCTAAAAAAATACTAGGTGGCCTTATTAAAGTATATACCTGGGTAAGACGTGACGCAACAGTAAGGTTTATATTCTACTAACCCTAACCTATAGCTCTAACCCTAACCCTAACCCGCGGGGTGCGAATTTAAAGAGTGCGAAGGCATAGTAAGGGCACGACAGTAAGAGTGCGATAGTAAGGGTGCGACAGTAAGGGTGCGACAGTGAGGGTAGATAGGAATAGCTTCTTGTGTTACCTTGAAATGCCGCGAGGTACCTAGTATGTACACAAGTTTCCTAATCACACTTAAAACATAGCTAAAGTTGAAATACTAAGTCACTAGGAGTCGCGGAACGTGCCTTCTTCCTAAACAGGTTTAGCTGTCAAGCATTATAGCCAAAGTGTAAAAGCATTATAGGAGGAGTCGCTTTTTTTTTCGACATGTAGAATCTGGAAGGGATATAAATGGTTACAAAACGATACTAGTAGTCATCAAAAACACCTTCTACCACTACACTACTACGGCAAAAGTCTACAGTTAATCACACTATAGTAGAATTATCTCCTAATAAGATATATAGTACTATCGCTACGATATGTAGCTCAAGGCTATAATACACTAAATATCACAAAATACTAACATATAACAAGTAATAAAATCGTTTAAAGTAAATCTAGAATATATCTATTATATAAACTTAAAGTTCTATCTCGTTGTAAGAATAATAAATATAGGTTTATTAGAGTAGTAAAGGCAAGTAATAGATTAAAACCCCCTGAGTAACCCTATATTTATTTATACTTCTAATCATCCCTTACTTCGTAACTTCCCTAAAACCTGTAGGTAGAACGTCCTAATTCAGTTTAGCCTCCATTTTGGCCTTAGTATTCTCGCTTTGATTAGCGAGAGGACTTAGCGAGAGTACTTATCCCAAACTGAATTAAGACGTTCTGCTTACAGGTTTTAGGGGTTGGGGGAGTTACGGAGTAGAGTTACGGAGTAGAGTTACGGAGTAAGGGATATAAGACTAGGACAGGACAAAGGTTACGTAAGGGACGAAACTCGCTCTATTGGTTTAATAACAACGCCGTGTCGTCGTGTTATCCCCTACCTACGAGCAGGCTATTTAAGTCGTAAAATACTAGTGTGAGCCAAATAGACTGTCAAGTTAACCTTTACTAGTTAAAGCTGGGTAAGTTCTGGTGTACGCTAAAGAATAGAGTACCTACCTATACACTCCACTGATTTAAGCGAAAGGTACCATAATATGGTGACAGATATTAAAAGAGTGCCAATTATCGTAGTAGAACGGCCAATTTCAAGAACTTGTATATATTAAGGCAAACCCCTATGCCTCTAAGATCGCAGCTACTACCAGTTTCGTCCCAAGTCTCACAAGACAGTTTTTGTAGCACATCGTAATTTGGGGGCACATAAGCACGATGAGAAGCTACACGTTTTCTGCCCGCTTTCTCGTTTGGAGCTGAAAGTTGACAGCTTGGCTGACAGCTTGGCCGTAGACGTCACCCGGTTGATTGACAGGGATCGACTTACTGTTTGAAGGGTTGGTACTATAACCCATCTTGTCAAGACTTCTATAGAGGTATATCGCTTCAGAATAGCACTCCCTGAACCTACTCCATCAAGTCAACACCTACCATCCTGAGCGCATCGACCGTCCAGACGGGATATTTCGCTTTATCTGTATGTAAATCCTTGAAGAACTGCTTCAGGAATTCAGGATACCTATCTTCGATAATCGCTTTCCGAACATTTCGCATCAACTCCAACTGATACCAAACATTGTGCATCGTGAGAAGATGAGCTCCGACGGTTTCTTTGCCTGCGATATGATTGATGAAAGCCCTGGTAACGTTCAAACCACCATCCCCTCTCCGGCAGCATAAACAATCGCACCCATCTTCTAATGGTCCGAAGTCGCTCGCATATTTTGCGTTTCGCAGGTTTAGGACTCCGTGCTTCGTAATGGCGTTTCCGAATCTTGCCGTACGAGTCGGCCAAACGCAATCAAACATGTCGGCCCCGAGAGCAACACTGACCACCAAGTCCTCTGGATATCCAATTCCCATAACATACCTTGGCTTCAATTCTGGCAGCAGTCCTGTACAGGTATTGACCACTTTACAGTAATCGGCCTTTGCTTCTCCACCACTCAACCCTCCAATGGCGATCCCGGGTGTGTTTCGTGCAACCATTTCCTCGCAGCATTCTTTCCGCATTTCCAGGTCAAGCCCTCCTTGTATGATGCAAAACAAATTTTGTGTGGTTGGGTTCGCGTGTGCTGCGATACAACGGTCGAGCCAACGTACACTTCTTAACATGGCCTCTCTCATCCTTGCGGCATCCGGCGAGGTTGTAACCAGGACATCATCGAGTTGCATTATAATATCGCTTCCTATTGTGTTTTGCAAACTGATGGAGTGTTCGGGGGTGAGGAGCATAGGGGAGCCATCATGAGGACTGAGAAACCGAACGCCATCTTCTGTGATATTTGCTAATTTGAGGAGACTGACCATCTGGAACCTGGCGTATACAGTGAGACTCAAGAGAAGGAATATGGTAGAGGTGATATAAACTGAACATACCCTCCACTATCGGTAAGAAGATTGTGCTTCCATCCTTGTAGTTTATGCGCTCCGCCGACTTTTTCCAGAACCTCCTGTCCAGGCTTCAGCCCCAAATGGTATGTATTGTTTAGACATAATCGACAACCGGTAGCCTCCAATTGTTCGGGTGTCAGTCCTTTGAGTGATGCTTGAGTTGCAACCGGCATAAACAAGGGAAGCTGGACTGGGCCGTGTGGGAGTGTGAGGGTGGCAGCGCGCGCCTTGGTGGTCTGAACTTGAATGGTCACTATGAGTTTTATGCGCTTGAAACGGAGGGACTAGGAGGCATCTTACAGAGCAACGCGCGTCCAACTCAAAGGTCAAGGCGGATGGCATGGGAGCTGGCGTGAAGGTAGACATGATGGGGGCTAAAGCGGGATGCAAAGGTGATGGTGTTCAGCCTGGGATCGAAGGAGGTAGGCGGGGTGAGCTGGACTGGTTTGGGGGGAGGGGGAGGAGGGGTTGTTTTGCGGGGGCCTT